ATTACTGATGTAGCCAGTGCCTGACTGTTGATGTAGTTCATGGAGTAGCCAGTATCTTGGTGGTAGTAGTAGGTCTAATTACTGAAGTAACCGGTGTCTGACTTGGTCTAATTACTGAGGCAGCCAGCATCTGACTGTTGGTCTAATTACTTTCACCTGGATCTCAGCGCTTGACGAATGATTCGACTATCTGCCACGATAGAGAGCAAAAATCGATGGTGTGGGGAGAAAGTTCCGGTATGACACGCGAGAATTCTGGCCATAAAGACGTGAGAATATTGGCCGTACTGAGACGGCAACTGTGGCCATGCAGACTTGAACGTTGTAGGTATAAAGATACGGGAATTTGGGCCATTCAGGCATGAGAATTTGGGCCATGTAGGCGTGAGAATTTGGGCCATGCATGCATGAGAATTCGGGCCATGCAGAAACGAGAATTTTGGCCATTCAGGCATGAGAATTTGGGCCATGCAAAAACGAGAATTGGGACCATGCAAACATAATTTAAGCTTTACGGATAAGCGAATAATGACTATACGACTGTAGAAAAAAGTCACAGGAAAAAAGTCACAAAAAAAAAGAATCAAAGAAAAAACTCATAGGAAAAAAATTCACAGAAAAATGTCACAAATATTTATTTGCATGGATTTTATATTAGTGTAATTATTTTTTCAAACACTAGCTTTGAATTCGCGTGAAATGTGAAGAAGAAAATTTTCTATCACAATTTTATAAACCACAATAATGCTTTAAAAGTTTACTAATATGTTACCTAAAAGTCACCACCCACATTTATAAACAACCAAAATTTGATAATTCTCAACAAGTACATCAAATTATTTCTTCTTTTTTTTCTGTGATTTTTTTCCAATTAATTTTTTTCCTTTGTGACATATTTTCTATGAGTTTTTTTCCAAGCAAAATCGGTGGCCTTTTTTTTCTTGTGACTCCCACACCCCGACTAGACAGGTACACGAAATTTGTGAATGCAGACACGAGAACTGCATACAGCTACAGGCGCCTGTGTCCTTACTGACCCCGTTCTACAGCACATTGATCCATGTCCTTCAAACAGCCAGTGCATATTGCTGATGGCTATTTTTTATAATACTCCATTCTTCTTTCATACTGCCCTGTTTCTTCTCTTATTTGATTACATTTAGTAATTTAGATGTAGAAACTGTAGAACAAATTATTAATTTCGACTATCTCAGAATGGTTTCTGTATTTTATTATTGAAAATCCGAGTTAGGTCTATATATATATATTTTTTTGCCAAGAAGAACTAGATCTAGCTTTATAAAGTTGGACTATGGTTTGCACTTGTTCGAATACGCACGTGTGTGTGAGTGATAAAAAGCTGAGAGCTTTGGACGTATCGGTTTTTGATGGTGAGCCGACAGGAGCTGAATGATTTAACATTGGTGATGTGTTTGTAGCGGTGGGGTGTCTGGGTGCTGCCTGCCGAGCCAGGCCTGGTCTGTCATACACACGGGCCGGACGTAGGGGGAGTTGAGTTCAAATCCTGGAGTTACAACCGGTGCAGTTGTTACAGGTGATGTGATGGTGCTCTGTGATGATGGCAAGAGTTACAATCGGTGTAATATTTCAGGGGTGTGATGGTGTTCTGTGATGGCAAGTCCTAATGGCGGATGCAATTCTTTCTCGCGTCATATAGTGGTCTCATTCGAATTCCAGAGGCGTAGTCTGTCTTACACCAACCACTTTATCATACCAAAGTTAATATTCAATTTGTTGTACACGCGGTCTCACCCCCCCCCCCCCCCCACCACCCACCCCAATAAATATGTTTGAATACAGAGTATTTATAGACTAAATATTGGTTTTGCTATGGGAAGTTAAAATAAATAAAAAACGACTCAGTGATTTTAAGTACTAAATAACTAATGAAGGAGATTCAAACTGGTTTACACCGTTACTTTTATTAATTTGGCGTCTGGATATCTGTAAATCATTTATTGCAGTATAAAATGAATGCATTTTTTGGCAAGCCAATAGCAGTAAAATATTAACTGTGTTTTTAAAAAAAATTGATAGCGATTTTTAAAAATCTCTTTCTTTGGCCACTAGGCAAACATATTTGAGTTGAATTTACTTACGACCCTCGTTGAGAAGAGTCGGGAAGAGGTAATTGAAGAGTTTTTTTTATAAAGATTTGCCAGGTTATAGTCGAACCCTAAACTCAGCAATCCAGTGCTGCACTACCACCCTTCCCACAGAGGCCTGATTAAATGTTTGGAGTTTCAGGTTAAAACAGACGCAACAGATTCCACTTCTGTGACCACGTCATGGAATGTATGTTGATGCCCTTAAGCTAAAAGAAATTGTCTACCATTCACATTTATGGATTCTCCCCCCCCCTTCCCCACCGGTACACATTGTGACATTCTGTCACAGATGGACGACCAAACACACCATCACATCCACGCTTCCACCCCACCCCCCCCCCTGCACACATTACACAATTCTTACACAGATGGATGACCCAACACACCCTCACATCCACGCTTCAACCACCCCCCCCCCGTCGTACACATAACACAATCCTAACACAGATGAATGACCCAACACACCCTCACATCCACGCTTCCACCCCCCCCCCCCGTACACATTACACAATTCTTACACAGATGGATGACCCAACACACCCTCACATCCATGCTTCAAACTCTACCCTCTAGTAAGCAGAAAACTTGTACACATATTCTTTACAAACCCAAAGTTTATTATCACAGATCTATAACAACATATTCAATTGGTTTCCCTACATCTCTCTCTCCCGGGGGAGCGGCGGGATGATGTCATACCGTGACATACACGCCCTTCCCCCACTCAACAATGGACGTGCACACACTATTTTTTTTCTCTCTGACCATATCTATTTCCTATTCCAGCATGACTTGCTTCGTGCGTCCTACAACCATTCTATTTCCTATTCCAGCATGACTTGCTTCGTGCGTCCTACAACCATTCTATTTCCTATTCCAGCATGACTTGCTTCGTGCGTCCTACAACCATTCTATTTCCTATTCCAGCAAGACTTGCTTCGTGTGTCCCACAACCATTCTATTTCCTATTCCAGCATGACTTGTTCAGTACGTCCTACAAGTGGATGCCGACCATTGTAAGATGATCGCGTCGTGTATCGATATCCAGGCCGTGGTTAACACGGCGAGCTCGGTGTGTTCAACACGCTGTGCTACGTGTGTTGGTCTCTGTGGGTATTGATAGATTTCATTGTGTTTGTCTACGCTAGACGGTGCATGTGTATCTCCGTGTTTAGATCGCAGCAGGGGATCCTGAAATAGCATGGGATTATTGTATTCATGATATATGTGCATGTCGTACTCAAGCGTGAGTTGAAGAATTTTTTTTTGTATATTGGAAATAATCAATAGTTACATTCGGTTCATTCGTGATTTTGTTTATAAAAAATATAAAGCTTTTTGAAAATTATTCCATAGTTTTTTTTTGTTTATCAACGAATACAAAGCCATGTTAATCCTAGTGGTTTATTTATGTGATGCAGCGTCCGGCACTGATGATGATTAGCCGGTTAATGCCGGCTCATGTCCCGCGTTTGTAGAGCAGTGTCGATAGGGGGGGGGGGGGCTTAGAGTGGACTCTGTCGCATTCAGCACGGCATTTAATGTTGGGGTTTTTGTTTTTTATGTAGTCGGCTGTACGTGGGGGCTCCACTTGACGTCATGTGGGTGTAGGTGTGTGTGTGGGGGGGGGGGGGGGGGGGGGGGAGGGGGTCTAAGTATGGGACACAAAATAGGGTGTTCTGTAAAACAATGATGCCTGTGCGAGTGTATTTCAAGAGCTGACTTCATTACAGATACACACATACGGTAACATACGGATTCGATATTGGCAGTCACATACACTTGACTTCATTCATTCATTTAAAATGTGACTTTAGTAGCCGTACACATTCTGAACACAGATGGTCTATCGATGTCACTTAAAAGTTGACTTAATTCTTAGCACACTGAAAGTAAGACTTCAGTTGTATTACATTTAAAAGCTGACTTCATTCTAAACATACATAACATGTAATTTGCTTGTGAATACTAAAAAGGTGACTTAAGTAATTGTAATCCTAAAAGAATACCTAATTCACATTTCCTGTAAACACCACTTCCAGCAATGAATATCGGACGGTTAACTAATGACGTCAGCATCTCCACATGTGATCTCTGTTTAGACAAAATGCATGACGTCATTATAGGACCACACTTAAGATGACGTCAGTAGATGGACACTTGAAGCCGATTAATCAGCATAAAAAGCCCCCCCCCCCCCCTCCCAACGTTTCCCTTGAATATTTTTTTGTCCAGGCTATTATGTTATCTATATTTTTTAAACCAGTTATTATTCTGTGAGCTACGTGTCTTCCATGTCAATATAGCGCTAATTCTGTATGATGGCACATTGTGGCATAGAAGCCTCGCTAATGTAGTGTGGAAGAGAGAATCGTTTTGTCCGAATGGGGGGGGGGGGAATTATGATACATGTAAACAATTTTTTCTGTTCCGAATCAAAATATTAAAACAATTTTAATTCATTTGAACATATATTTTTTGGTCCGAATCAGGATACATTTAATACATTTAGACATGTTTTGTGTCTGATTCAGGATAATTTTTATACATTATACATAGATAATGTTAAAATGGTATCCATATATATATATATATATATATATATATATATATATATATATATATATATATATATATATATATATATATATATATATATATATATATATATATATATATATGCCCGCTTTAGCTGGCTAGTTTTTAATATAACTAATGACTGATTAGACTAATGACCCGCCTTAACGAAATGATCTACTCTGGCCACCGTTTTCCCCTTCCCCTTCTACCCCTCTCTGCATCCATCTTCTCTGCTTTGTGTAGCTAATCATCAAGTACTTGCTATAATTACCTTTTCTTTATCTCTGACAGGTGGCCTTGACCTTCTCACCAAAGACTGAACACCCTGCGATCGCCAGACGTACCTGCGACAGGTAACTGACCAGCCGTCTGGTCGGCCCGTGGGGTCAGCGGTCAAGGCTAGCCCAAGATGAGATAAGCCTTGCCCAGCCCTGGTCGCGACTGTCGTGCATACAAATGCGGGCGGACGAGGGGAGATCAGTCCCCCGCTTAGGTTTGACGCCGCGGTCTTTATCGGCCGAGTACTTGGATTATCGTCCCTGACCTTTAGACGGAACGACGGCGGAAGGCGGAGAAACTGCAAGTGAGTCGATCTGTTTGTGGATGCTCGTCTTTGTGTGGGGTTCTAGTGAGGGTGTCTGTTTCTTGTCTTGCTGTTTGTCAGAGGTTAGATGTTAGCTCAAGGGTGGCTCTGTCTTCTGTACCTTGTTATCGATTTGGTGTTACTGTTTATGTTTTCTGTATCTTGTTATAAATTAGTTACATCTTTTCTTCCACCCATTCGCCCAGTACGTCCACCTATTCAGACTGTCACTTCTCCTAAGAATAATTTACCACTTGGAATCTAACTGTCCATAGGGCTGGTATAGTAGAGTTGACCTGATTCATTGACCTCGGCATATAAAAGGATAGTATGGTCAGCACTATGCCCATACGCCTTTACTTTCCCTAACATGAGTCAGGTACCCATCAGAGCTGAGTGGACTCAGGGACGTCGTACAGACGAGATGGGGATCCGAACTGGAGACTTTCGGGTTAGCAGTTCGACCACACCGTCACAAAGCTACACCATAAGTTGACGTTAGTTTACAGCCTATTAGCTCCTGTCTTATACTAGTGTATGGCTTTTGACTTTCAACCCGAAAGCCCCGAGTTCGAATCCCCGGATTGAGTCTCTGATGGGTACCTGAATCATGTTATGGAGAGTAAAGGCTGCTGGGCATAGTGCTGACCACTCTATCTTCATATGACAAGATAAAAGAAACAGATGTAGCCTACTCTACCATAGACCCCCTGGTTCGAAAGTGTAACAATGCTGGTATATGACCTAGTTAATAGAATAATATCCAGTTGAATGGCTATCAACAACATCCAGCCACCAACCCACCTTGATAGAATCATCTGTTTACCTGTAACTGTCACCTACATACTAAACTAATCGATATTTAACGTGTAGATCGTGAATACACTTCTAACTTTTCTGCACTGTTCAATATTGTATAGACATTCGTGTATGCCTATGCAAAACCATTGATTTGATCAACATATTTTTCTGAACCATATAAATCGTCTAAGCTGCTTTTTAAACCAGCATTTATTTTTACTTTTGTGTGTGTGTGTTTATGTGTGTGTGATAACTTCCTATTTATTTTACCATTGGACTCTGTAAACAAGATTTGAGTAGGGCTTCTATTGTTTTGATTAACGGAGGTTTATTGTGACTTGATGGTCGTACATCGTAGGTAAACTAGTACAGCGATAAGATGTGCACTGATCTGATTGTCAGCTCGTGTCGCGGCCTGCAAGGTTCTTTGTTCCAGCGTCAGTCTAGTACTGTAGGCTTATGTGTGTGAATTTATAGGTCATATTGACATATGTGTGCGTTTAGTAGGTCATACGAACATGCGTGTCAAATTAGTAGGGCATGATGACATGTGTGTAAATTTAGTAGGTCATAATGACGTGTATGAGTTTAGTAGGTCATATAGACGTGTGTGAATCTAGTATGTCGTAATGACATATGTATGCATTTAGTAGGTCATACTGACATGTGTGTCAATTTCGTAGGTCACAATAACATATTTATGTGGGTTTAGTAGGTCATATGGTCATTTATGTCAATTTAGTAGGTCATAATGACGTGTGTGTGAGTTTAGTATATCATAGAGACGTGTATGAATCTAGTAGGTCATAATGACATTATGTGTTGATCATACTGAGAATTGTGAATCTCTTAAGTTATGCTGGCATTACGTGCGAGAGTCTAGTACAACTAAGCAGGTCATACAGACATCTACAATGTCAAGTCAACTAAAGATTTAAAATTATTTTCTGAGTTATGTGTATCTGTTTACAGTTTAGTTTGAGTTCACACTTCTAGGTTCTAACTCTGCTAACTACACCAGCATACAATTCAACACTTTGATAACGGGTTAGGTTTTTGGTTAGGGTTTAAGGACAGCTTAAAGAGAAACCCTGATACAGTAGAGTTATTTAGTCAGATCTGTTGAAATGGCAGGTTGTGTGACAGTTACGTGGAAATGTGAGTTCAATCTGTTTAATGTGTCGCTAAAGTCAAGTACCTCTACTTTTTTTTTATCTTAAGACAATAACATGTTGGGTAAGTTAAGAGAGGGCAGGCAAGATATGGGGCTGTAAATCAGAGCGGGCGGTAACTTATAGAGTGCAGAAATAGGGCAAGGGACTGTCGGCACATATTACGCACTAGCAGTGTTAAGAAACAGGGTGAGGTTTAGTTGTGGTGAAAACAGGTCATCGGCCCGGTTGTCTTAACTTTGAACTAGTTTCTTTGACCTAGTTGTGTCCTCATGAATTCCAGGGTGCTCGTTTCTCGACCTCTAACCTATTTACGTACATGTTCAGTTCGTGTTATCACAGTCAAGTTGGACTAGTAACAAAAGACATCAGACAGGACAATCTGTGTGTGGGAATAACAAAGATGTGTCCGGCTGATAAGCGTAGAGCTTTGTTCGTGGTGACATGGCTGGGGTGACGGGAGGTGGGACGGGTGGTAGCCGGGGGTGGGAGAAACTGTGACGTAGATATGCATGATAACAGTCACAGTTCACTGACTTTCTTGCCGTTAGGCGCGGTGTTTCTCTAGCGTACAGGTGATTAGTAGCGTACATGTGATAAAGAACATATTGAGTTCTTTTAGCAGGTGAGTGATTGCCTGCATACTGTTTCGTTAAGTGGGGTAAGTGTGTAAAGCTTACGTTTAACTCATGGGCCAGGGGTCGTGTGTAAATCTTACTTCACTTGTTGTGTGTAAAACTTACATTAAATTCAAGGATTGTGTTCATAGTCTACATTTACTATCAAGTGTAGCCGTGAAAGCGTATAAATTATTCAAGGGTCAGGTTGTAAAGATTACTTTAACTCGAGGGTTATTTACGTTTTATAGCGGAGACAAGTCAGTGTTATTGATTTGTCTAGTTGCGATGGAAGGTAAACTACGAATACCAATATATAATCAACATTTTGGTGGTAAATGGTTTATATTTACCGTAGAAGAAAAGCGGTACATATTTACAGAAGAATGGTAGCTGTTTATATTTACAGTACAATGGTAGCTGTATATATTTACAGTAGAATGGTAGCTGTTTATATTTACAATAAACAGTTAAGAGATTGTATTGCCAATAGATCTCTAGAGGAAACTAAACTGGTAAAGGAAAGCGCGAAGTGTTCAGAAGTAAATTTTAACGTGTTATGACGCTTCGATTTTATTATTGTGTTTAGCTAGCGAATTTCCTACTGAGGTAATTTAAACAATTCTCAATAAACACGCATTTTACTTAATTTAAATGCCGTTATTTATTTCATGCAGTTGATTTTTAAAAATGGTATTGCTTCTTGGTATTAAAATTGTCAAAACGAAATACATGCATTCAATACGTAAGGGTACATGCTGTTGTTTTGTAATTATTGATTTTAACATCAACGCCTCCGCATGTGGTAGGTTTTTTTTCATTTTTTTTACCAGCTCCACGCCTTCCCCCCTGCCTATTTTAGGATTTTCTCGGTATGATTTACGGTTATGATGTACTTGCCATTTTATCGCTACTCCGTACTGTAAAGCGGCCACTTTATCGCTACTCCGTACTGTAACTACTCCATCAGTCACGGAGACTGACCAGCCCGGGTGACACCGTGGAAACGTTTGGATAGAGCCATCGGTTTTACATTTGGGCATCTGATTCAGTTCCAGACACATAACCTCTCGAGTGGGATTTTCTCAGAACTTCAAAAATAATAATAATAATAAAAACCGCTAGCACCAGGGGTATGCATGGCTACACTGTTAAAAAAAAAAGAAAGAAATTTTGACTTTATTTCAGATTTAAAAGTTAACTTATCAGGTATGTAGTACCTAGTGATCATTGCTTATCACTAACTCACACACAACTTTCACCTAAACCCAGTATAACTGTACCACATTAACCCTAACGTTCTAACCTTATTCTAACTCACCCAAACTTATCCTACCAGTAATACAAATCTTTATTAGCGACGGTGGTGTGCCTCCAAATTTAATAGCAACATCAGCTTACTTGGTATATCGAGTGATTTAATACTTTTTTTTTTATCTCCCCTTCTGTTATTGAATATAATTATCTGTAAGCTAAACTTTTTATAGCTAATATAATATTAAATTAGATTTTAAAATTGGAGATTCTTGCGTTGTCGCCAGAATTGCGCCTACTTGTGAAGTTAAAATTGACTTCGAAGATTTGATCATTACCATACAAATTGTTGTGACCGAAGTTTCGCAAAAGAAAAAAAAATACAAATAAAAAAAAAAAAAAAAAAAAAAAAACAACAACCTTTCAATGCATAGTTATGTTTAGCTGGGAGATAAAATACCAAGGAAAGGTATCCTTCCTGGCACCTTATAACGGAAGTGAGCCCCAGATGTGATGATATTGATGACTCGATACAACAGCAACATCAGTCGAACGGGAAGGCAAATGTTTATTCAATAGACCTGTTGCTTAGCTCCGGTGTCTGCTGGTGATTACGTAACCTGTTTCATTCGGTGCCTGTCTGCTGTCTAAAGGTTACCTCGACACTGCCTCGGATGTGCATGGCGTGAGTACACCTAATCTGCTCACCTACAAGAGGACGTGCATTCTTGTGGCATCTAACGCCGGGGTCCACGCGCCGGGGGAGGGGCGGAAGAAAAGAGTTTTGAGACCGGCGACTGGTCTTTGCTGGTGAAATGTGACACAGACAAACATGTTTTTTTTTTGTGTGCTGTAGATAATATTTGTCAGAGGTGTGGTTAGTTTGTATAGGGGGCGTGTAGGAATAATACAATGGTCGGTGAGTGAAAGAGATTTGTTGGTCTCAAATCTGAAAATCTGAGTACCGAACTCTTGACTTTAGCGTTAGTTATTGCGCGTCCATTAGTTAGACCATGTTTTACTGATATGAAATGGTTAAAATGGGTCTAGCTTCATCTTTTGGTTGGCTTGAGACAATGCGTCTAGACCAGTGGTTCTTAATCTGGGTTCAATTGAACCCTAGTCTCAAGGGGTTTGGCTGAGGTTAAGACACACG